GGCCGGCCCCCCAGGCGCGTGGCTATGGGGGGGCCCCCGGCCCCGGGCAAGCGGCTATGGGGGGGGGGCGCTCCCGGGCGCGCAAGTGTCCCCGCCCCCTGGCGCCCGACAACCTCAAAAGGTTGGGGACCACTGCCATAAGACTACCACACTGTAAGAACCTATAGAACAGACATAAATTATTGAACCTTGGCACGATGCATCTTTTGAGAGATTTACTTCATTTTTAGACAGAGCATGCAACACCATATCACCATTACAAAGTAACCCCAAAAGCGGCAAAACTATGAGGTCAGATGGGGATGAATGAAAAGAAAAAATACAAATAAATAAAACTAGGGGGCTGTACCCCCAACTCGGGGGGCGGGGGAAAGAGCAGGCAACCCCAGCTCACCCCCCGGCCATTGGGGAGGGCCGGGCTTCAGCTATGTCACTACAGGCCTACTTAGAGAGAGAGAGAGAGAGGTGTAAAAATATCAAAACCAAAAGCGTACCACATGCAGAGTTCCTACCTCCCCAAAATACTGTGCTAGGGTCTCCACTATTGGTCTTCATTCTGTGTGGAAGGCACTCAGATACTATGGTGATGGGCAGCACTGCAAAACCCTACAAGAGACAGATATTGGTAGATAACTATTTATTTTTACACTGGGTTTTAAGGTGCACAATATTTATATATATATATAATTCTGTAATGCCATGGAGCATTAGCTGGACTCCATTAAAACACATCTTCAGCCTTAACTCGTTTATAAAATGAAGGATTTTTTTGTTTTCTTAGGAATAATGGGAGTGAATCCAAGATTGAAAAGCAAAATAGATTTTTTCAAAAGCTGCATTAATATATTCCTCTGTTCATTTTATAGCACTAACATTAGAGGCAATATGAACAAGGCATATCCTTTTGCTGCGTTACAGTGTGATATTCTCTTTTCTTTCAATGCTGTACTGTTAAAGTTGCAGCATTCAATAAATATTTGTTTTAAAAAGAGACAAACCTGCTGAGAGCAGTTGCAAAGAAATCCCTCTCATCCCACTAATTTGTATTAGGAAGGAAGATAGCAAGCATAAAGCTAAATGGGGAGCTAACAGATAAAACATCAAGCTCAATTAGAACCAGACACCATATATAACTATTTGTTTGACTAATTTCCTGTTCAAATATGTGTAACTGTTTTATTGAACTCTTGAATAACTGGGCCAAATAATGCAGTTTCTCTCAGGTGAAATTCCTCTAGCTTCAAATGCCATTGACTAAATCTTTGTACAACACTGGATTCCTGGGAAGTTTAACTTACAACATTAAAAAAGTTTTATTAAGCACACTAATACATATTATGGATGAGTTCTGAATACAGGCTATATAAACTACAGTTTAAAAATGAACTGGTCAGTTTGTATATTGTAAAGCCTGAAACTGGTGGTTACCTGGCTGCTTATTATTAGGCAAAAATGAAGAGCAACACACAAGTGCAGAAGCTAAAGATAATTCAGTACCAGTGGTCTCCAATCTTTTTAAACACAAGATCACTTTTTGAATTTAAGTGCAATCCAAGCTCTACCTCAAACCCAAATATCCTTGCCCCACCTACTTAATGCTCCTTGCCCCCCCTGCTCATTCCGTCTTCCTTCCCTTCCCCATCCTCACTCACTTTCACCAGGCTGGGGCAGAGGGTTGGGGTGCAGGTTCTGGTCTTGGGTTAAGGGATTTAGAGTGTGAGGGGCTCTGAACTGGGCATGAGGCAAGCAGCGGGGTTGCAGGAGGGGGGTTCTAGGTACAGGCTCTGGGAAGGTATATGGATGCATGGGGGCTTAGAGTTAGGGCAGGGACTTGAGGTATAAGAGGCAGTTCATGACTTGGGTAGAGGGTCCAGATGTGGACTTGAGCTGGATGCTGCTTACCTCAAGTGGCTCCTGGTTGGTGGCACAGTGAGGCTAAGGTAGGCTCACCCCTGCTTTAGCTCTGCACCACTCCCAAAAGCAGCCAGCAAACTCCCTCCATCCTATACTCTGTTGTGCTCCCCTCCCCACTCTGTAGAGATAGGACACAGGGTGGGAGAAGGGGGCACCTTGATACCCTCCTTTGCCTCCCCTGCCCTTCACAGCAAGCAGGAGGCTCCTGGGAGAACAGCTCCAAGGCAAAGGGCAGGAGATGCCCAGCAGCAGGAGGAGGAACAGCTGAAGTTCCGGCACTTGATAGCCACCGGGCCAAACCAGTTAGGATCACCTGTCAAAGGCTCCAAAATCTACCAGTAGATCCCGATCTACTGGTTGATGACCACTGTTCTAAAACTCCATTTGAAGTCTGGGCTCCAGCGTACTTGCACATGGGTATTGTGCCTGTCAGAGGCTTGAAGAGTCACTTGTCTCTTGCTGCTTCAGGGGGTAGCTGAGTTAGTTTGTTACAGGAAAAAAACCAGCAAGCAAATGGTCTGGTAGCACTTTATAGACTAACAAAACATGTAGATGGTATCATGAGCTTTCGTGGGCACAACCCACTTCTTCAAGATGGTTATCTGAAGAAGTGAGCTATGCCCACGAAAGCTCATGATACCATCTACATGTTTTGTTAGACTATAAAGTGCTACCAGACCATTTGCTTGCTGGTTTTTTTACTTGTCTCTTGGTTATAGCTCAAGATTGTAGAGGCCTGTCTTGTTCCCATTGAAAGTCACAGGCCCCAATTCCGAGAAGTCCCTTTCTTGAAGTAAGTGCAAGAGTGAGAAGGCGGAAAAGAGGCAGTTGAGGCAAGGGTGGCTCTAAGAAATCTTTGTATTCATCACATTTTGGGGAAAGCCAGAGGCTGCTCGGCCCCCAGTGTAAGTAAGAGCAGCCTCTATTGGAGTAGGCAGTGAAAGAGATCACCGGGAGGTGTCTGGAAGCATCGGAGGCCATAAACCTCATTGTGACAAATTTTAGCTTGTATTTTTCACCACAAAAGTTCTTTCTAGAAGAGTTTAAAAAAGGCAGAGGAAATAAACTAAAGCTTCACTGGAATCCTGAGAGGGAAGAGTGTGTGTACATACATGAAGGATCCCAGAACACCCACACTTTAGGTCTGTATCTGTCCCTTAATTATTGCAACATTTCCCCTCTCCACTCCATGATGCTCCCCTCTCTTGCTCCTGAAGGACCATCCTACCACTGCCCAAGGCTATTCCTAGTTTGGCCTCCCTGGCATTATGTAAAATATTGATCACCCAACCCAGGCATCTCCAGGGTGTCTCTCAGCGTCAGTAGAAGCAGCTGCCTTTTGCTTTCAGTCTCACTGAGAACAGAGGAGAGACTTGGTGTTAAAGCTTACAAGAGCCAGCAGGGGGAGCAAGGAACTGATCACATGCTGCCTCTGCAACCAGAAAAGCCAAGCTAGAGCCCCTACTACCCAGAACAATGGCCAGGACCCGGAAAACACACCCTAGAACTAATGCCTGAAACAAGGAACAGTCCCAGCCAAACCTGTTGGCAGCTGTGACTGAAGTCAATACCAGTTTTACAGAAGTCTATGGAAGCACTGAGGATGAAGGCCTAAGTGACCACAAAAGAACCACATTCAGGAGCATTCTGTATGCAAATTGACCCATAGTATAGCTTCCTCCCACCCCCGTGAGGATCTCTTCTGCACATTTCATCCATCCAATAGTGTGTACATTTATGATGAATGATTTTTCTTTATAAAATAATGGATTAGCTTCAGCTAATTGCAATCTCACTTAATATTTTACCTTGATAAAAAAATCTGCATACTGAAATTCTGCTCCCCTAAATAAATAGTTGTCTTACCTGCTCATTATGAAGTCCATTTGTATATGAAAACATAATGCAGTAAGCTGATGTGAATCACTGGCTTTTGTAAATCCCTTTCTCTCTAAGGCTACTAAAAGATTTACCCGGCGTTGCTCGGGTCCTTAACTCAAATGCATTTTGTTTTTCTTCATTTAAATCATTGTTCTGAGAATGAAGATGCAGGCAGCCCTTGAGAGAAAGGACAACCCCAGCCCTCTCTCACTGCAACAGCTTGGGGCCAGGTGAGAAGCACCTGTCCATGGCCACTGCAGCAGGCACAGCCAGGGAGGAGGGGTGAATGTCCTCTGGCTGGGGGACGGACAGACAGACAGACACACACACAAACTCTCTGAAATATACACTAGATAGCTGTCCCTTTCTCCGTCCCTGCCCACTGCTGATAGGGCTGCTAGATACTTTCACAAAAAATACCAAACATGGTGGGAAAAAATAGGTTGAGCAAAAAAACAGCCATAAAACCCCCACAGTCACTGCGCCTTTAAATCCCCATGCTCCTCGCTCCCCCCAACCCTGCCAGACATGGCAGGGGAACAATGTACCAAGCAGCCTTCCTTCTGAGAAAAACATATCCAGTATTTTCTGATTATTTTTTTTTTACCAGACAGAGGCCACAAATACCAGACTGTCCAGGCCAATACCGGACACCTGGCAACCGTAGCTGAAGGCCCAATGGGATTACAGCTGTCCGAGTCCCCGTCTGAGACCCCTGGCTGCCCCTCTGATCACTCTGCAATATAGTTCTCTCCTACCTGATTCCTCTTTCCATTTTATAAGAAACAACCAAATTCCATGCACATCCTATTCTGGCACAACCAAACCCTGACCTTGCTTTAAGCTATGATAAGACGAAGCTGCATACCACATTTGGTAATCTTAACTCTTAACATTTAGAAGGAGTTCTTGAACAAACAGTCTCACAGAGACAGATGCACATTACTAAAATATATAGTAAACGATTTATATGATGTTTGTAAGCACGGGGCCTAAAACTGATTTATTCACCTTTTCTAATCAATCAAAAATTGACATAGTTTTTTTCGTGTGTGTGTGTGTGTGTAAAAATGTATATAGCATAAAAGTACAAGGGAGATTACCAATATTCACCCTTTCCTAAAAACAATGGATCACTTATATCCTTGAGAAAATCTCTCTTGTGGTAATTGAAGCCAATGACTTAGAAGTAATATGCATACTGCTAAGTGTTAAAGATATAAATGCAGCATACTTTTTTGCAAGGAAAATCAACTCAAAGGAATATTGGTAGATACAAACTGAGTATAAACCATGTCTGTAATGTAGTTAAGCAAGAATTTGTAGAAGGAGAAGGGGGCCATGACTGTTATTCAAATGTGTCTACACAGGATCCAGCCACTGTCTAAATATTAACTCACAAACGTGAACTGTATAAATAAACTCTCCATTTCTGCAGAACGTAATTTTTATAGTTCTAAATTGTCACTTCTTCCTATACAAAGAGGCAACATACTGTTCTACCTTACCATTACACTGTTTCTCAACCAGTGATATGAGTACTCTTAGGGGTACTGAAGAGATGTCTGGGGGATACTTCAACAACTGAAATTTGGAAAAAACAGAATTTTTCTTTTAAATGTTATAGTGCTTTATTATTTTTGTATTATTTACACTCAAAAGTTTAATCGCCTGCAAGGCTACGGTTTAAGCTGTTTAAACAAATGTGTTGCAATAGTAGAAAATTATTTTGTGTCCGAAAACTCTAGGTACTGGGGGGTACTTTTTTTAAAAGGGGTACTTAATAAAAAAAAGGACACTAGAATGGTTTT